GAGAGAGAGAGAGAGAGAGAGAGAGACAACAGAGAAAGAGAGGAGGGAGATGAATGCCTTCAAGCTAAGATAAATATTTTTTTAATTCTTACTTTATTTTGCTGTTGAGAATATACACAGCAGAACTCACGCCAATTCAACAACTTCGTTGTGAACAACTCAGGGACATTAATGACACTCTTCAAGTTGTGTAACCTTTCCCACCCTCCTTTTCCAAATTGTTCTTCCCCCACTGACATTAACTAATTGCCCCCTAAGTCTCCTGTCTAGGGATATGGCCTTTTTCCAGTGGCATTAAAGATGCCTCCGCCACCCCCACCAGACAGACAGAAAGCAGGAAGCAGGTTGGAGAAGAAGGGGAGGGGGCAGGAAAAGGAGAGGGAGAGAGGAGAGAAAGGGGTGGAGGAGGAGGAAGATGGCAGGTCATGGAGGGCACTCTCCTAAGGAGTCTGGGTTGATGGGCGATCAATTGGGTCACAGTTGCTGACGTTCTTCACACCCCCCCTACCCACCGTGGAGCTCTGAGGCCCCAGGGCTGAGGACCAGACTCGGCTGCTCATCTGCGGACCCCAAGTGCTGTGGCTTGTTTGGAGCTTGGAGGTGCTGTGAGCGATGCCACCCCCCTCTGTGCCCCTCTCCTGCTTCAGGGCTGGGTGACCTTGGGCAAGATCTCTGATGTAGTTACCCTTGCTGTGCCCTGGGCCAGCAGCAATCCCCCTTCCACATGCCTGTTTGGAAAGCAGAACTAATACAAGGCTAGAAGGAGCTGTAAAGCCATTTGCACAAGTGGAGTGCCCTGTGAGCCGGAAGGAAGAATCCAAGCACCGAGAATAAATAATAATAATAGAGGGTGCACTTAAAGGTTTATTGACAAGGATGCTCATCTTCGTGGTACTTTATTGTATTAGCGCTTACATGCTCACCCCTTGGTTTGCGGAAGGCTACATGATTTACAGTGGGAGCCCTAAATCCATTTTGAGTCTCAGGGTAAATTCAGCTTCTATTGAAGTCTTTCTGGCCCTTGGTCGGCAATGTAAAAAAGCTTTGCCCGGGGCAGATCATGGATGCTGCTAACCCCAGGCCAGCACTGGAAGGGGTAGTCCACCCCTTCGGGATCTGCCTGAGTGCGCCCACATGGAAATTGTAGACTGTAGTCACATGGCTCTGAGTAGTCAGACCCCATACCGCCAAGAAGGTCGGTCCTTCTCCTGCCTCCAGAGTCCCATAGACTGTGATGAACCGAGTCTCCGTGGAGAACAAAGAAAACTGTCACAAAATCAAGATTGATGACAGATCAACTCACCACAGTCTATGCTCTATGTAAGTAGCCACGTGACTGAATCCTCGGGTACCATTAAGGCCTCGTGCTGCTGCTCTCCTGCATCTAGATGATTCGTTTCTTCTTTGTCTTTCTGAACAATTGGAAAAAACATAAATGTTAAATAGTAGTGACTTGATTAAAAACTACAGTCACAAGACAAAAGTGTCTTAGGGGACAAAAGAGACCGCAAATTCAAATATATTTTATACCAAAAAACTCACTGCCAATTCATAGAAACCTTATGGGACCTTATAATCTTGTGAGCTTCCAAGTTCGTAACTCTTACAGGAGTAGAAAGCCCTTTCTCCCACAGAGCAGCTAGTGGTTTCCAACTGCTGCCCGTGCTTCGGGGCTCCTTTCAAAGTATTTATAGAGCACCATTTATATATTAAGCCATACACTGGACAAAGGTAAAGATCAATCTTCCAGCAGGAGACCATCAATGTGAAACTAACATAAAGCTGTGCAAGGATCTACACAAAGGAAACTGTCACAAAACATGATCAATGGCAGACGAATTCACCACAGCTGCAGGCCAGACTACAGAGTTATCAAGTAACCGTGGTGCCGCCTGTCGAGCCCGCCAGTCCTATCTCCCAGGAAAGGAACTTCAACCCAGAGGTTAGCAGCCCAACTCTTAAGTGGGGCCCCAGCAAGTTCACACCCAGGTAAAACCTTGAGGGCGTGTCTGCCCCTCCCTGGGCTAGCTAGAGGAGCGATAGGAATGCGCTTTCAAACATACTCTGCTTGAGGGCAAAGTTTTCCAAGTGCCAGTCCACGGTCAGAAGGAATTCAGTAGAGCCTGAATCTGTGGATTTAGAGCTCTCCCTGTAAACCCTATAGCCTGGCCCAAACCTCAGGCTCCGAATTTAAACTCTGATACCAAAAAAAAATCTTTAAAATGCAGTCATGCAAGATTTGGGGGATAAATTACAAACGAGTATGTACTGAATGATCCTACCGCAGAATATACAACTATGCCTTAAAAAGAAACAAAAGCACACTCCCCCAAATGTTAACATTGGCCAATTTAAGATTGGTGCCCTTGGTTGCTATGGCCAAGTCAACACCAACTCTTGCTGACCCCACGTGTGCAGACTAGAATTGGGTTTTCTCAGGGCTCTGACCTTTTGGAAGCGGATTGCCAGGTCTGTCTTCCTCTTTGTATCTGGGGGGGGCTTTGAACCACCCACCTTTCAGCTACTTGTTAAGTAGCTTTTGGCACTACCTAGGCACACTGTACTTTGGTCTGTCTTAATTTTAAAAAGTTAAAAAAATATATGAGCACTGGCAGTCTCGAGGTAGAATATATGTATGTGTGTGCGTTTTCCTCTTGTAGCAGAGGAAGGCGAGAGCACTGGGGCCTGCTGCTGCAGGCAGGGTGGGCCTTTCCTTGGCTTCTAGTTTCTCCAGCCCCCTGACCAGCCAGCTCCGGCCAGTTCAGCCACTTAAACGCCCACAGCTAGTGGGCCCGGGAACCGCCCTGAAAGCTGCTGCTCTGTTTGTGGAAGATAAGTCGGACTCAGTTGAGGGCTGGAGGGAGGCATGGAGGTGACCTGATACGTGGGAGGTACTGATCACCCCATCAGCTCTTCTCACTCTCAGCGCTGTCCATGGCAGACTTCTGCGGCACACGGTGAGCAGCAGGTGAGCCACATTTGCCAGGTGGAGACGTGGGTGGTTTCATGTAGGGTGGCTCTCACTCGACACCCGCAGACTGGCCTCCTATTCAAATAATACTGTCATCATATTATAGAGAACTGACCGTGTGCCAGGTGTGTGGCTGCGTTAATGACCACAGTTCTCACCACAACCCTGTGCCGTCCCTACCCTCCTGATGTCCACTTTGCAGATGAAGAACTCCAGGCTCGGCGATTCAGGAACTCGCCCTGGGTGACACGGTAAGGTAAGCGGCAGATCTAGGATCCCTAGCAGGCTAGACTACTACTACTGCTAGTGGGATCGCCCCCCACCCCACCCCCCACCGCCCGCCCACCATGCTGCCCAGGTCAGGGGAGGAGGCCAGGCTTCTCAAGGTCAGAGGGCAGAATGCCCACGGACCTCGCGACCTAGTTGATTGGGCCGCAGACCCACAGTGGGGAGCAGATCGAGACCCTGGGGTGGGGGTGGGGAGGTCAACGAGTCCTGGGTGACCCTCACCGCCCGGGTGAGGAAGGGGGAAGCGGGGAGAACGGGCCGGGCGCTGCCAGCCCGAGGGCACTCGGGACAATTCTCGTAAACACGGCGGGGCGGGGCGGGGCGGGGCTTGGCGCCGACCGCATTTCCGGGGATGGTGTGGGCCCCACTCTCCCCAGGGAGTGTGCCCGGCCTGCCTCCAGCGGGCACGGGCCTGTGGACCCTCCGGGAATCCGAGCGCCGGACTCTCTCCAGGTAGGCGCGGGGCGGGGAGCCCCGGGAAGGGGCGGAGGGCGCCCAGGCCGCGGCCACCCGCACCCCCGCTCCCGGCACGACGCCACCTGCACGCTCTGATGGGCACCGGCGCCCGCCATAGAGGGAATCCGTCGCCATGGCAGCGCGGGGGGCAGGGCCACGTCCCCATGGCAACCGGGGGCCTCGGCGCCGAATCCTTTGACTCCAACCTGGAACACCGAGGCTAGAGTCTTGCCCGCGAAGGGCCGAGGCCACTCCTCAGAAGGGTTGTGGTTTGACGTGTGAGGCAGGGCCTTTGTCATGCGCTTTTCTTCTCTCCGGTGACAAGGTGGAAGGAGGGTCTAGGGAGGTAGGAAACTGGGGGGCCCTGGGAATGAGGCTCCCACTTGATGTGTAGTGGGGGCGAAGGGGGGAAGGTTCTGCTGGGTGGCCTATCACGGAGTCATTTCAGTCTGACCCAAAGGCTCAGAACCCTGGGTCACCTGAGAAGGTCGTTCACCTCCGCCCACATTTCTTCTGCCACGCCAGTCCCTTGACCTGAGATTCATTGGATTCTTGGGCAGATCGAATCCGATAAGACTGGGAAGGGCACCATTTTTCAAAACCTTTTTCCCCCATAAATTCTTTAGAACTGGAAGAAATGTTAGGATCACACGTACCCTCCCTCCCCCTGGTTTTCAGAGCTGCGAAACCACCAGGAGAGGTGCAGTGGGCACTGACTTCCTAGACTGATCCCGCGAGTTCGTGGCATGGTCAGGATTTGAATAGTTTCCTGACTCGGGCCATGGTTGTCAACCTTTGGTTCTTCTTCGTTTTTAAATTATCACTACTTTATTATGAATTAGGTGGGGGCATTACATTTCAGGTCATCAATTTTGTATTCAACAACTTAAACTCTTTATCAAACCCCCCACCCCACCGCCCCAATAGCTGGCCTTGCCCACCCACCTCTGATTTCTCTTCTGTCTCTTGTGGAACACTATCTTCCCCTTCACCAAGGTTCACCCCTGTCCACCCACTAGCTTGCTGCTGCGTCTTCCACGCTCTCTTACCACTCCCCTATCCCACCCTGTAACCATCAAAGTCTTTTTTTCCTGTATAACAGTGGTGCCTCATATCATTTTGTCATTTCTTCTTCTTTTTTTAATTTTAATAAATCATTTTATCAGGGGGCTTTTACAGCTTCTATAACAATCCATACATCAATTGTATCAAGCACATTTGTACATATGTTGCCATCATCATTTCCAAAACATTTTCTTTCTACTTGAGCCCTTGTTATCAGCTCCTCATTTTCCCCTCCCTCTCCCACCCTTGGTAATTCATAAATTATTTTTATTTTCATATGGTACCATGCGCTGTTTCCCTTCTTTCACCCGTTTTTTGTCATTTTGTGATTGTCTAATTTCACTCAGGATCATGTCCTCCAACGAGCCCTGGTAACACATTGGCTAAATGCAAGTTCAGCAGTTCGAAACCATCAGCTGCTCCTTGTGAGAAAGATGAGGCTTTCTACTCCCAAAGAGTTACAGTCTCTGAAACCCTCAGGGGCAGTTCTAACCCATCCTGTAAGGTCGCTATGAGTTGGCATTGAAGGGATGGCAGTGGGTTTGGTTTGAGAATGTTCTCCAGGCCCAGCCATGCCATGAGGAACTGTTCTTCCTGATGCCCCTCGAACTCTGAGGCAAAGCCTCTTGTACAGGGGCACAAGTCAGTGCCTCGGGGCTCTTGCTTTAATGGAGTCTTTGACAAACTTGCCCTCTATATGTTGATCCCCAGGAGCCAAAGATTCAAATAGCAGCTCTCAAAAATACCATCTCTTCTGGAGGCAACTAAGATGGAAGCTGTGCATCCCAAAGCAGGGCAATGAGGTTCCAGTTCTCCCCTTGTCTGTGAGGTGCCTTTTACTGAGAACGGGGTGAGGAAACCGTGGTGCCATTGGGGGGGGGGGGGTAAAGATCCAGGACAACGCTTTGAATTAATCATTTGGAAGTGATTTTTAACAGCTGGAGCAGAAAACGCACAGCTTCGTTTAGTAAACATTTACCAGGATATTTTGCTCTCTCCAGCTCTGTGTGGGGCTGGCGACTACAAACCTGAGTTGTAAAGGCCCTGTCTTTGCCCTCAAGGAGTTTGTAGAAGAGAAAAGAGGGACGTGGCATGCAAATGAGTATTTGACTCCAGCGTAATGAGTTCCTTAATGGAAACCTGAGCAGAGTGCCCAGGGAACCCGGAGGAGCAACTCCGGAAAGCAGTTGAAAGGCCTCCGATTCTGGCTGGCGTAGCCTGGGAGCGCTCCTGGAGCTCAGCCAGGTTGGCCTGCCGCTACCTTTGCCGCAGACAAAGGAATGAGTGAGCGAGTGTGTCTGAAGCGATCGATGTGGATGTGGATGTGGATGTGGATGAGGATGCACATTCCCCCCGGAAGGAAGTTCAGAGGGTCCGGATGAATTGAAAGTTCTGTGAAGGCAGGACTCTTGTCAAGTTTCCTTTAACTTCTACACTCTTTATTGTAAACAGCAAAGGCACAAGATGGACTTGTAGAAGGAGGGAAGAAAAACAGCTTCTACTTCTCAGGGGAAGAGATGGCTACAACTTAGGACCCTGGCTGGAATTCTGACCGCAGGTAGAGCATCTACCTGGGTTGTGGTCCTAGCCTGACTTCCACCTGTAGAACCAACCACAGCACATCCCGGAACTTCTCTGTGCCTCAGTCCCTCACCAGCTGTAAACATGAACGAATGCTTGAATGTAAACACCTCGGCCGCACTTTAACGTACTCAATAACTGTGAACCACGTTAGTCAATGTCAACTTTGATTGGGGTCGAGTGAGGTTTGCCAGGTAGTTCTTGTCAAGGTGATATAGCAACACAAAAATGAGGTGTTAATTTGTTTTTACCTGAGTAGAGATAGTTTTCAAAGTTCCCTGTGTCCATAGACTTAAGTCGCCCCAAATAATGGTTCACTGTCTGGAGGATCGGGGATCTTTTCGGAATCAGATGAAAGCCAAGATCATCCCTGATTCTAGCAACAGCATACTATTGTTGGGATCCATGGCTCTTTGAAACCCATCCTTGGAGTCAAGGGACTGCTTGTTTGGCTACACTGCCTACAGGTTGTAGGGAAAGAAGTCTGCCTTCATAGGAGGCTGGGAAGAGCAAGGACAGTCCCTAGTGGACCTGCTCTTTAAAGAGACATCTCTGTGGAAACTGCCAGAGGAGAAAGCTGAGGGGAGCCTAGGGGCTCACAGGTCTGGGTGGCTGGTGTGATCAGGCCCTGTCCAGATGTGCAGCTTTGGATGCCATTGCACAGGGGAGGTCTGGGACTGTCTGCTCCTGATGGCTTTGCTTTGGGGCATGAGGCCTCGGGTGGCAAAGCAGGATGCGAGTTCAGTCTGTGGGGCCCCTGCTCCAGCTCCTGAGCAGACCTGGCAGCATAGCAGTTACACATTGGGCTGCGATCCCCGAGGTCAGCAGTTTGAAACCACCAGCTGCTCCGAGGGAGAAAGATGGGGGCTTTTCACTCCCTTATAAAGCAACCATTTTGGAAACTCACAGGGGCAGGTCTACCCTGTCCTATAGGGTTGCTATGGCGCCAGAGAGTTTTATTTTGTTTTGTTTGGGGGTGGCCGTGGCTCCATATCCATCTTCAGCCACCCCAGTGGTCACACCTTTCTCAGTCCACTCTGGGGTCAGCCCCGGCACCGAGAAGAAGGTTCCACCCAAGTGTCCTGAGATGACGAAGAACTGGGGGTTCAGAGAGCCTCCGCTCCTCCCTGGGGTGGGAGAAGCCTAGAGAAGGACCTTGAGCGTCTACAAAGGAAGGTCCTTTGCCCTGGGACAGATGACAGAACCCGCCCCAAGGCACCTCTTCCTTAGGCCGGTGAGCAGAGGCCAGGAACTACAGTGTGCCTTATACCCACTGCAGTCGAGTTCCTGTCTGACTTATGGTGATGTGGCCCTTAGGGCGGGCGGAGTAGAGCTTCCCCACAGGGTTTCCAAAACTGTAATCTTTTTTTCTTTTTTTTTACTTTTTATTGTGAATCAGGTGAAGGTTTTCAGAGCAGGTCATGGTTTTACATTTAACAATTCATCTACATCCTGACTCACTCATCCATTACCATCCTCTGCGTACCATCAGTTACCCCACTTCCTCTCTCCACTCCTCCTTTCCTAACCCTCTGAATTGTATCCTGGGGTAAATGCTGCCCTTTTGATTTTTGATTTGCTTGTCCAGATGCTGAGATTCGTTCCGTACCCGACCTGCAGGGTAAAGTCCCACAAGTCTCTGTTTGACCGGTAAGCCTGGTCTCTAAAGAGACTCTGAGTTCAGTTCCACATTTTCTAACTCAGTCCAGCACCTTCCCTCTCTATTCAGTGCACATGGTAGTGGTAGCCGGGCACCATCTAGTTTTTCTGGTCTCAGGGTGTGGAGACAGGTTTACGTGATCCATTAGTCCATTGGTCTGTCTGTGTCCATGTGGTTCTTAAGTTTTCATCACTTTTCTTTCCTCT